CACGCAAAAAGTGCAACACTTGGCTCATGTCCCAAATCTGTACTTGAGCTTCTTTAGCGCATTTTTTGGAGCAGAGGAAGGCCCATTCAAATGAATGGGGCTGCTCCAAAAAACAGCTAAAAAGGTGCCCCCAAATATTGATGTGGTAGCATTGCTCAAATGTGAACGTGGCCTTAAAGTGCATCTAAACCCAAGAATAAACATATAATGTATTGCAGCTTATCAGTCCTAAAAGGCCTTTTACATCCTACCCATAATCCACATCAGACCATACAAAGGGTCAAGATGACAAAAGCTGGTTCTTCTGGGTGTTAAACTATCTCACATGGAGTTTGAGCCCTGTGAAGGGCCCTAACAATGGCTACATCCACATGACTTGGCTCCCATGCCTTGACTCTCCAAGGCTCCTCCCATCCTTGCAACTTATATGGGCACTAACTCCACCCATTACAACACTACCATAAGGCTTTCTCTAAAAGGGGACCTAACACCCAGTTACATAATTCTGTCCACCATACTGTTTTGGGACAGAGCCACCTAGTGGCAGACTAGCTAACGGCATCTGCTAACAACTGCTCTCTGCTCAGAGAAGACTTGTAGCATGTGATTGCTCAGTTCTCGGGTTTGGAGCTGGCAGGAACAGATGCAGCATCACACTGATGCTGCAGCATGGAGCAGAGTATGTATGTTTTGTTTTGTTTTGTTTTTTTTTATACTACAGGCTTCTCTTTTTAAAGCCCAGTTCTGGACAAAAAAAAAGGTCCCTTGTCTTGGGGAACATAAAAGATTTACTTAACCTCGCCATACATGAATTGAAATTCAGCTGGTTCAGCACGGAGCAGCCAAATTTTGATCCATGTATGGGCAGGCTGATTGTACACAAGCTGATCTATTGATTGACTTGTGTATAACCAACCTGTTGGATAATTTTCTTTCAATCAGTGCCACCGGCTATAACCGGCAACCCTGATCAGTATATTCTGATGGTGAGTAAGTCTCCCTGCTGTCAGAATACAATACAGTACATACCTCAGTGAGAAGGATTCTCCCATCCAAATCGAGTGGGTGGATGAGTCATTTTTTTTTTTTGTTTAACCTGCTGGTTGAACAAAAAAAAAAAAGACTCATATATGGCCTGCCTTACTCGATCCTCCTCTCCTCTGTTTTACCTGTCCCTACAGCTACTGCACCCCCATAGTCCATGGTCTAGAGTCCTGATGTCATGAAGACCAGAGCAGGGTCCATACACCCAGGGACGGGACAATGGGGTGGGCAGGAGGGGTGGCTGCCCTGGGCGCAGTAGGGATTTGGGGGATTGTGCTAAAAGGGCTGATTTGGAGGGGGATTTGTACTAGGAGAGTGGATTTGTGTTAAGAAGGATTTGGGGGGAAGGATTTTTGCTAGGTATGGTTGGGGGATTTGTGGTAGAAGAGGATTTAGAGGGGGGGATTTGGACTCAGAAGGGAAATTTTAGGGGTAGAGGATTTGTGCTAGGAGGGGGGATTTGTACTGGAAGAGGGTACATTTTTGTTTAGGAAGAATTGTGACTTGCAAAGGGAATTTGCTCATACATTTGGGGGGGGGGGGGGGGGGGGCATTTGGAAACCTTGAACAAGGCACTAGATGACCTTGTTCTGACACTGCATACCACTGCAGTAGACATGAGGATCCCAAGAAATAGTGCACTGCTGGATCATGGGAGAAGGTGAGAGGAAGAAGCAGCACAAGCCTCCAATCAGTTAATGTGCAGACAAGAAGCATGCTGATAGGAGAAAGCAAAATGACAGACGATGAGCTCACTCATGTGCTGCTTCTCCTTTCACTGTCCACTCAGAGGCTGGGGTGTCTCCAGAGTGACCTGGGCTCAGCAGAAGTGGGTTGAATCAGGGCCGGGACAAAGTCATCTAAGATCCAGGGCGAACATGCCAAACTGCACCCCCACACACACACACACACACACACACACACACACAAGATGTATGAGAATTAGGTGTCAGCAAAATGCTCATCTGTCAGGGTCCTGTCCACGGCAGGAGTTCTGGAAGATCTGGCATTTCTGCCGGTACTCTACATGGCCGCAGAAGTACACATCAACCTCAGTCTGGTGCCAGACGGCCTTTATATGGAGTCTCATCACTTCCTCAAGTTGCTGGATGATCTCTAGCTCCCCGTGCTCTGTTCCATGTTTCCAAACGGAACGAACAAACCAGACTTTGGAGCAATATTTATGGTGCTTCTCTGCTTTTTCTCAGGATGATTGGGCATCTCTACTCCCATTGGCAGAATTTGCCTACAACAACTCAGTCCATTCTGCTACAAACCAGTCACCATTTTGGGCCAATTATGGATTCCAGCCTTCCTCCATACCTGACACCATTCCTGAAGCTTCGGTACCCGCAGTACAGGACAGACTCTCCATGCTACAGAACAACTGTAAAGTCCTCCGAGAGTCTATACTGAAATCCCAGGCTGATTATAAAAAACACTAAGAAAGGAAATGGAGAGGAAACCCTCCTCTGAAGATTGGAAACAAAGTTTGGCTATCAACTGCCAATCTAAAACTCCCGTGCCCGTCACGTAAGATGGGTCCAAGGTACTTTGGCCCTTTCCAGACCAAGAGGGAAATCAATCCAGTGGTGTTTGAGCTGTGCCTTCTGAAATCATACAAGATCCATCCAGTTTTCCAAGTCTCCCTACTCAAGCCAGCTGTTCCTGATCCTTTTCCAGGGAGAGTAGAACCACCTCCTCCGCCGATAACAGTTGGGTAGGAGACGGAATACAAGGTTGAAGCAATTCTGGACTGCAGAAGGTGGGGAAGACAAATCCAGTATTGAAAGAAATAAAACAGCGCAAATCATCACCCTCACTAAATAAATAACATAAATAAAATATCATACAGTGTAGAAATCAATAAACATATTAAATAATATTATATAATATTAAAGTATCCCCCAAAAAAATATTTTTAGAAATCTCCAATTATAATAAAGTGTCCAAAAAAATACAAATGAAAAAAAGTCCTTTCTCCCAAATACAATTTGTGAAAAAAACAAATCTCCAAAAAAATTATTAGTGCTTCCACCATCCACCAGTGAGAAACCAATATCAGCTGCACTCACCAGATGATGGTGAGTAATGCACCTTTTAGGATGTTTTGAGATCCTAAACCCCCTTTAAAACCTTCACGGCTCCTTTCCACTATATAGGATTCAGGGCTCTCCTTCCAATTGCTCCTGCCTTCTCCTCTCACCAAACTCCACAGCACTGCAAGGGGAAAAAAATATATAATAGTGTAATACTGCAATTACCCTGTGCAAAATTAAGTAGAAATGCCAGATCACTCACATTTCACAGGATGAATAAAAGCATCAATTTTATCGCCTCCATAGGCTACCATAAAATCCATAGCTTCCACAACCTCATATCAGAGACCTCACAGCCTAGTTCTGCAGAGGATGACAGGATACAGCTCCAACAATACTAAAAATGGCCGCCTGGAATGCACCGCTCGGCATGCTTCCACTCACCGGAAGTGATGCAGGACGTTAGGACGGCAGACTGGAAGTGCGTCAACGCATTTCTCCCCTCCCTCAGGGCGTTCTCAAGACAAATCCAGTACCTGGTCAGATGGAAGGGGTACCCACCTGAAGAAAGATCCTGGGAACCAAAAGGGAATGTACATGCCCCCAGGCTTCTCCGAGAATTTCATTCCAAGTATCCTGAAAAGATTGCCCAGGTGGGCATCCGGAGGCTGCCCTTTAGGGGGGCACTGTCAGGGTCCTGTCCACGGCAGGAGTTCTGGAAGATCTGGGTTTTCTGCCAGTATTCTACATGGCCGCAGAAGAACACATCAGCCTCAGTCTGGTGCCAGACAGCCTTTATAAGGAGGCTTATCACTTCCTCAAGTTGCTGGATGATCTCTAGCTCCCAGTGCCCTGTTCCTGTTTCCTGTGACTTGACCCATGATCTACTGTTACCGACTTGGCTTGCTCCTGGACCTGTCTACTCTGCCTTACCCCTGATCTGACCTCGGCCTGGCTTACGGATACTCTCTCTCTCTCTCTCTCTCGCTCCTCTGTGTATGACCTCGGGTATCCCATCTGACTACGTCTGCTCTGATTCCCACCTGGTACCTGACCTTGGCTTGAACCGACTACCCAGGCGACCTGTGCAACTTTGGGCCTGACTCCCGCTGTCCCACTCTCAGGGGAGTCTGGAACTTAGCCGCAAATGAAGATCTCTCTCCATTGGCCTCCATCACCAGGTACATGATATCACCCCAAACATATTGAGCACTAATCTGCATGCTTACCCCTAGGCATAATTTCCTCCTCCTCCTAGTAAACATCCACCTCCTTGCTGAAATCCCCCCTCCCAGCACAAATCTTTGCCCCCCATCCACCCAAATTCCCCCAGCACAAATAGCCTCTGCCATAAAAAACCCCTCCTAGCACAAATTCTTTACCCCTCAAATTTCCAGAGTACACATCCTCTCTCCCCCACTCCAAATACCTCCTCCCAGCACAAATTCCCCCCCAAAATTTCCCCTCCTATCACAAATAATCCCCAATCATCTCTACTAGCACAATTATCCCCCTCTAAAAAAACTCCCCTCCTAGCACAATTCCCCTCCCCTTCCACCATATAACCTCTTCTACCACAAAATGCTCCTCCTAGCACATCCCCCCTCCCAACACAAATGCCCCTAAATCACCACTCCTAGCACACTCTCCCCAAATTTCTGATCCTAGAACAATTCTTACCCCCTGCTGCCCCCCAAATTACCCCTTCCAACACAAATCCCCTCCACCCAATCTCTTTGCAGTGCCTCAACATCTCACATGATAACACATGAATAATGCTGGCCATCAGACCGAGAACATCTACTGGCAGAAAAATTGGATTGGATTGAAGATGATAATTGCATCAAAAATGGAAAATTGTATCAAACACTTACCGTAATTTTCCTTTCCAGGGCAGCATACATATGATAGGGGCAGAGCTATATTATACACTATATTGCCAAAAGTATTGGGACGCCTGCTTTTACACACACATGAACTTTAATGGCACCTCAGTCTTAGTCCGTAGGGTTCAATACTGAGTTGGCCCACCCTTTGCAGCTATAACAGCTTCAACTCTTCTGGGAAGGCTTTCCACAAGGTTTAGGAATGTGTCTATGGGAATGTTTGACCATTCTTTCAGAAGCGCATTTGTGAGGTCAGGTACTGATGTCGGATGAGAAGGCCTGGCTCAAGTCTCCACTCTAATTCATCCCAAAGGTGTTCTATCTGGTTGAGGTCAGGACTCTGTGTAGGCCACTCAAGTTCCTCTACCCCAAACTCACTCATCCATGTCTTTATGTACCTTGCTTTGTGCACTGGTGTGCAGTCATGTTGGAACAGGAAGGGGCCATCCCCAAACTGTTCCCACAAAGTTGGGAGCATGAAATTGTCCAAAATGTCTTAGTATGCTGACGCCTTAAGGTTCCCTTCACTGGAACTGAAAAACAACCCAGCACCATAATCCCCTCCACCAAACGTTACACTTGGCACAATGCAGTCAGGCAAGTACCGTTCTCCTGGTAACCGCCAAACCCAGACACGTCCATTGGTTTGCCAGACAGAAGTGTGATTGGTTACTCCAGAGAACACGTATCTACTGCTCTTGAGTCCAGTGGCGGCGTGTTTTACACCACTGCATCCGACGCTTTGTATTGCACTTGGTGATGAAGGCTTAGATGCAGCTGCTTGGCCATGGAAACCCATTCCATGAAGCTCTCTACACATTGTTGTTGTGCTAACCTGAAGGTCATGCAAAGTTTGGAGGTCTTTAGCTATTGATTCTACAGACAGTTGGCGACTTATGTGCACTGTGCGCTTCAGCATGCGCTGACCCCGCTTTGTCATTTTACGTGGCCTACCACTTCGTGGCTGAATTGCTGTTGTTCCCAGTTTTTTCCACTTTGTTATAATACCACTAACAGTTGAGCGTGGAATATTTAGCAGCAAGGAAATTTCCCGGATTAACTTATTGCACAGGTGGCAACCTATCACGGTACCACGCTTAAATTCACTGAGCTCCTGAGAGCGACCCATTCTTTCACAAATGTTTGTAGAAGCAGTCTGCATGCCTAGGGGCTTGATTTTATACACCTGTGGCCATGGAGGTGATTGGAACACCTGAATCCAATGATTTGGAGGGGTGTCCCAATACTTTTGGCAATATAGTACATGTTGGCCATGCTGCCATGTTGACATCAGGAAAATGGAATTGTATCAAATACTGTAATTTTCCTTTCCTGACACTAATCTATGGCAGCATACATATGATATAGCTCCGCCCCTGCTATACGTATGTTGCCATGTTGGCATCAGGAAAGCTGGGTTTCCTATCTTTGATAGAGTTGCCACCTCATTCCTTTAAACCCGAACACATATTAATGACACAGGTTCTGTGGCTGATTAAGGTGGTCATTCAACTCACTTGGTGCCTTATCTGCATTAAACTAGCCTCAGAACCTGTGTCATTAACCACTTCCTGTCTGGCCCATGTAGATAACGGACAGGAGCGCTGCCGAAGTGGGTGAATGCTTCTACATGTCCCCCCGCCTTCATTGCCTGTGGGAGCTTCCTGAGAGTGTGTGGCAACACGATTGGTGCCCGCTGTGTCCTCCGGACACAGCAGAACACCAATCTCTGTACGGGACCTCTGTGCGAGGGTCCCGATCATGTGATCACTGATTGGCCAATCAGTGATCACATGAATAGTAGTAAACAAAATGTCACTTCTGACATCATTGCTTACTATGTGTGAAATCTGTGAATGATCACAGAGGTCACATGGTACAAGGCTATTCACAACAGCCTTGTACCATGTGACAAGCTGTGACCAATCTCAGCTCGCTCAGTAGTTCTCAATGGCTGCAAGAATGCAGACAGAAAGAAAAATGATTGATTTTACATCCTATATGGGTGTAAAAGCAATCAGTGTAAAAAAAAAAAAAAATCTTCATCACCCCCCACAAGTAGTACAGTATCACCATGGTGACACTGTACTCTTAGGGTGACAGTATGTAGAAAAAAAAAAAAAAACATAAATAATAATATAAAAATGTAAAAAAAGTTTAAATCATAATTTTTGGTTATAAACTAATTTGGCTTTTTTTTTTTAACTAAAAAGATAACGGAATAAATGTTGGCCAAGATTTATGATGAAATATTATTTATTTGCAAAATTTTGTAAGAAAAACTTTTTTTCAAAATTTTTGGACTTTTTCATTTACATAGCAAAAAAAATAAAAATCCCAGCGGTGAATAAATACAACCAAAATAAAGCTTTATCTGTCTAAAAAAAATGGTAAAAATTTCATATGGGTACAGTGTTGCATGACCGCACAATTGTCATTCAAAGTGTGATAGCGCTGAAAGCTGAAAATTGCCCTGGACAGGAAGAGGTTAAAAGTGTCCGGACAGGAAGTGGTTAAAGGGATGAGGTGACAACCCTAATCTTTGATCTTGCGTTTGTTTGGAGTTCTGCTTTAAAAAAAAAACGAGCACTGTCTTCGAATAAAAGGACTAAATGATTGGATGGATACAAATAGAAAATTAATAACAATAATAATATATATTGTAATGCTTTGACATTTCCGGCAATTCTAAGGAAACTGAGAAGAGGACGTGGATGAGCAGCTACGAGCACCCGAGTGACGGAGGAGCCGGGCCCGCCTCTACAAGGTGTTCCTCAGCCATTCCTCTCCGGGTTCCCTCGTCAGCTCGGCTCTGTCACAATGTCAGGACTTCCACCAAAACTTTTAAGTTTGAAAAGGGGAGGGGGATGGGAGCCGCTTCCCACGTGGGCCGCGCCAGCCAATCACGGCCAATGGTAGCCGGGCTTCGCCTGCATCTCGCTTGCACTTGTCTGAGGCAGCAGTGTGTGCGGGCTAGCCGGCGGAGCGTGCTTACTGTCCTGTCTGTTGTCACCCTCTGATGGACTGACTGCGACACCATGACCCAACAACCCAACGGGACTGTCAGCAATGGCACCGGGGAGGCGAGGCAGAGAGCAGACAAGGGCAGGAAAGAGGTGAAGATGGTGATAGTTGGAGATGGAGGCTGCGGGAAGACTTCACTGCTCATGGTCTATGCCAAGGGCTCCTTCCCTGAGGTGGGTATCAAGGTGGGGGCACACCTGACATGGCAGAGTACTGGGCACACCCTGCCTGCGCCTATTATCCCATCATTGTCTATTATTCCTAGGTTGTGTAATACGGAGGGAGCTGAGGACCTGTCTGTCATGACAGAGTCCTCTTCTATTGAATAGGAAACTGTCTGCAATGCCCACTACAGCCAATCCTATGTTATTGACAAGGGGAAGCCCGGCTGTGCTCGGTGTGAGGCCAGGCAGGCTTTATAGGAGGCAGCTGATTCAGTCCCTAAAACTATGACTCAGTTGTCTAATAGTGGACCGAGAATAGAGCAGATGAATGTTCACTCACAATGGGCTGAGCTTCCCTCACACCTTTCACTATACTTAGACCTGACTTGAGTCACAAGACGGAGACACAAGCTGCCACACTCTTTAGACCAAGGGACTGGCCCCCCTGATTCGAAGGGACGTTCTTCTTACTGGCCCCCCCGATTGGAAGGGACGTTCTTCCTAGTGGCCCCCCCCGATTGGAAGGGACGTTCTTCCTAGTGGCCCCCCCCGATTGGAAGGGACGTTCTTCCTAGTGGCCCCCCCCGATTGGAAGGGACGTTCTTCCTAGTGGCCCCCCCCGATTGGAAGGGACGTTCTTCCTAGTGGCCCCCCCCGATTGGAAGGGACGTTCTTCCTACTGGCCCCCCCCGATTGGAAGGGACGTTCTTCCTACTGGCCCCCCCCCGATTGGAAGGGACGTTCTTCCTACTGGCCCCCCCCGATTGGAAGGGACGTTCTTCCTACTGGCCCCCCCGATTGGAAGGGACGTTCTGCCTACTGGCCCCCCGATTGGAAGGGACGTTCTGCCTACTGGCCCCCCGATTGGAAGGGACGTTCTGCCTACTGGCCCCCCCCGATTGGAAGGGACGTTCTGCCTACTGGCCCCCCCGATTGGAAGGGACGTTCTGCCTACTGGCCCCCCCGATTGGAAGGGACGTTCTGCCTACTGGCCCCCCCGATTGGAAGGGACGTTCTGCCTACTGGCCCCCCCGATTGGAAGGGACGTTCTGCCTACTGGCCCCCCCCGATTGGAAGGGACGTTCTGCCTACTGGCCCCCCCGATTGGAAGGGACGTTCTGCCTACTGGCCCCCCCCCGATTGGAAGGGACGTTCTACCTACTGGCCCCCCGATTGGAAGGGACGTTCTGCCTACTGGCCCCCCGATTGGAAGGGACGTTCTTTCCACTGGTCTTCAATGGTGGTATATATACACACACTGGAATTTTTTTTATATATATACTAGTAATGGCAGCGATGAGCAACTTATAGCGGGACTGCGGCAGGCATTCTGACAGTGGGAGGGAACTGACTGTCACTGACATCCCCAGTGACACCAATACAGTGATCAGTGCTAATAAAAAGCACTGACACTGTACTAATGACCCTGGGCAGGAAGGGGTTAACAACTCGGGCGATCAAAGGGTTAACTGCTGTTTTACTGTGTGCTGTGTGTGTGTACTTTAAACTGTAAGCACACTGCTTTGTATGGCTCTATGCAGAGCCATACAAAGCAGTGTGCAGGAGTTGACGGGAGAGATCTGTATTGTTTACATACAGATCTCTCCCCTGTCTGTGATGCACTGTGATTGCCGGGTGCTGGCGGGCAATCACTGGCCGAGACTGCCAATGGTGGCACAGGTAGGGCACGCGAGCAGCTCGAGCATGCCCCCTACCCAGAAATGCAAAATCACGTGTATATGTTCGTGATTTTGCACAGCCCTGTAGCAGTATTTCTGCTATAGTGTGGCGGGAATGTGGATTGTGGTTCTGGCTGTGCATTTATGTTTGGAAATCTGAACCAGGCAGTCTGTTTTTTTTCCCTCTGGATCAGTCAACCTGGA